TGCCAGCCATCAGTCCACATTACCATAAAAAAAGACATTGCTCTGGAGATTCCAAGGATTTGAGGAGCTGTGTGCCAGGGAAAGGGGACAAAGACCAAAAACGTCTTTCACAATATCACAGCCCCATATTAGAATCACCCGGGAGCCTTTCAAATTACTGTTGCCCAAACCACAGCCCACATCACTGAAGTGAGAATTTCAAGTTGTGAGTTCAAGGCACTCCTCTCAGTTGAAATCTCACCAGGGACTTAGGACAGGGCAGCAGGGTTTAGGGATACTGAATGGGCCATCCTGATTTCCCCGCATTCTCTCTCCTTCTCCACATTTTTCTCTGATTGGCTTCCTTCCCGCGGCCTATGGATTTTAGGCTTCTTTCTGACAATTTTGGTTACATCACTCTCTAGTCAAATGAGGCAAAGATTGTCCTGTATTCTTGTCTGTCACCTTGGGTATTCATATTATAATGCTGGCCCAGACTCACATTTTTCAAAGTGAATTCATAAAATGCTCTCTTACTCTGTCTGGCATGAAGATTCAGTGGAGTGGCATTTTAGACCCTTATCTGGACTTGTAGGAGCTGAAAGAAGAGGCTTTGGTAGGAGAAAAATCCTAGTTCTCTCTTTGCTAAGTCCTCCCAGAACACCCATCTCTGGTGTCCCTTCCTGTCAGTGAGACCATCCAGTGACTCAGGCCACACAGACATCATGTATATGAAGGAGATGTGACCTGTCATACGTGTGCCTGGGGATGCTGGGATGCCAGGTGCCCAGGCTGCAGTGTCCCTGAAGTGAAAAATTGGCCGGGCACAGTGGCTCACGCCTGTAATCCTAACACTATGGGAGGCCGAGGTGGGTGGATTGTTTGAGCTCAGGAGTTCGAGACCAGCCTGAGCAAGAGTGAGACCCTGTCTCTACTAAAAAATAGAAAGAAATTAGCTGGACAACTAAAAATATATAGAAAAAATTAGCTGGGCATGGTGGCGCATGCCTGTGGTCCCAGCTTCTCGGGAGGCTGAGGCAGGAGGATCACTTGAGCCCAGGAGTTTGAGGTTGCTGTGAGCTAGGCTGACGCCATGGCACTCTAGCCCGGGCAACAGAGTGAGACTCTGTCTCAAAAAAAAAAAAAAAAAAAGAAGTGAAAAATCACCCACTTGAGCCCAGACAGATGGCTTTGGATGGACAGACAGGGACACACCCATTAATGTGTTCCTAGTAACAGAATAGTTAATCCTCTATCCTAGGGAGAAGGTTCTAGAGAGGCTGTAGAGCATAGAATGGAGTTAGTGATCTCTGCCCACAGCAAGAAAGAACAGGAGGATAAGTAGAGTCTAAAGGCTTGGGGGTACCATGAAAAAGGGTGTTAAGAAGCTATGAAGCATGTACCAAGGGAAGGAAACTATTTAGGGTTTTGGAGCCTTATAAATTTTCTGTTTGTGATTTTTTACGACATGCCCATACATACGTAAAATATGCTGCCATATAGTGGGTATTAGCAGCCATAAGCAATGTAGGAGAGGTACCAGTCCTTCCGTAGAGACTTAGGGGCCAGGAGAGCTACAGCCTTACCCTCCGCACTCCTGCAGTGGGGTCTGGGCCAGTCCTCATCACACATGTTATATTCCACAGGGAAGTGGATGCACATTCTCAGGACAGGGCTAAGGAAAGACTCCCACAGCCCCTGACAGTCCAGGGATCACGAGGGGCTGTGGCCTGCAAGGCTGCTCCACATTGCTGGGGGGCCCCCCTCCCTGTCTCCTCCCTCGGGACACCCTCATTCGCACCAAGGAGTAAGTTTTCTTGAAAATGTCTTTCGTGTGTCTGTTCTGTGGCATCTTCCTGAGAGCACACACACTGTATCAGACTGTCATCATCACCACCTGGATTCTGCGGTCTCCTCCCAGCCGGGTTCTTGGATTGTGTCACCTCCACACTGTCAGTCGCCTCACCAGGCTCCTCCCCCACAAGTCCTGTTCTTACCACGTTCCTACTCTGCTTCGGAAAACTTTCCCTCCACGGCTCACAACACGACTCCGCCTCCTCCCCCTTCCTGGTGGTCCTTCTCACTGTGGCCCCACGTTCCTATCTAACCTCACTTCCCCCCACTCCCTTGTACAGATTGTCCCCTGGAGTCGGGCTGCCCCTCCCTGACCTCAGCCCTGCACCAGGGGCCTTCCAGCATCCAGGTCTTTGTCCACAAGCTCCTTCTGCGGCCTGTGTGCCCTCCATCGTTACGCATGGCACAGTTTACCACCATTAACCGTCACCCAAGCAGGACACTCAATAAGATGTTATGGTAGTTCACATTAGACTCTCGGGGAAAACATCCTAAACCAATACACCTGTCGTGGAAGGAATTGTCAAGCACAGAGGGAAGCATCGCACAGTTGGCAGCACTGAAAGGCACACTGAGCCAGGAGTCTTTTCCAGGACTCTTGGCACGTCACCTGGTCTCTTCTCTAATGTCCTGTGAGGTGAGCTCACTCCCTCCCAGTCTGCCTTTCTCTTACTGGACGGTCCTGGTAGTCGGGAACATTCCTCAGTATGGGGCCAACTCCTGATGCCCTGAAGGCTTCCTTAACAGGTTTTTCCTTGTTTAGCCTCGTGATTGTCACAAAACTAACCTGCTCCCCACTCCCTTAGGTCATTCAAATATTTGAAGCTGGATCTCATCCCACTATGGTCTCTGAGCGTCAAGGGTGAACATTCTCAGTTTTTCGCCTGTGTCCAGCCCCTCACCAATTCTGGACCCTCCTCCACAGACTGTGAAGACAGGTGTCCCTGATCTAACCACACCCCAGGGGAGTCCCGTCCTCCCACGTGGACCTACCATTTACACCACTGCAGATGCAGACTGAGGGGGCTTTCCATGCAGCCTAGACTCACCGATGGCCCCCATGCTACGTGGACCCCCTTTCCTGCCCCTCTTGTGAATGGCTGCACAGTCAGGTTTCCCCAGCCTGGTCCTCTCAGGGGACAGTTTACAGTGAGGCCAAGGAGTGTGGCACATTTTCTCCTGCTGGCTGTGAGCCTCTCCTCCTCCATGCAGAGCCTTCTCCCCGCTAAGCTTTGGAGACCCTCTCCATGCACAGAACAAGGAAAAACATTATCAAACTTCTGGATTTCTGTGCATATTATTAGCTGGATATGTGGGAAAAATCCCTCATGAAAAGATCGATGTGTAATTTAGGTTTTATTTATGCTATATCTACTGGAGTTTTCCCTGTAGGGAGAGAATGGGGCAGGGCAGACCTCCCGTGGCACTGCTGCCGGGGTCCCGGCTGTGCACTGCACACACTATTCACACGTTATCACAGGGAACCCACCCAGGAGGTGTCTTTCTATAATTTGGGCCCAACTGCAGAGATAAACTGGCCTCTCCTGGCTCATGTTCAATGACACTCTGGCAGGGCCGTCCCCTCCCACACTCATCTCACTTCTGAGACCTGTGTCTGGGCATCTCTTCCTCCTCATGTGAGCCCAGTCCAGGCCGGGGTGGTTCTGACACAGAGCCTGAAGCTTTGCAAGGGCCCCAGGACAGCCAAGCTGAGTGTGGAGACCCTGGGGACAGGGGTGGGAGAGACAAGGGCCTTTGAGCCTCTGGTTGGCTTCCCACAGAGCCTCATGGAGCTGCAGCTCCACCTGCGGAGTGGACGGCCCTGCTCAGGACGTGCAGGAGACACGAGATGCCACCCTCAGGAGACAGCCTGGGCAGACACTGCTGGGCACATCCTGCAGTGGGGCTGTGGGGGGCTCCTCATCCCCCTGCTCTCCCCACGTGACCTGCCTGTGGATCTACAGGCTGCCCAGGGCAGTGGGGGCCAGGCTGGCACAGACATGGCCAGGCGCTGGGGATACAGCAAAGCTCCCAGACCCACCTCGCCTCTGTGCCAAAAACTGCCCAAGCACCTGACATGAACCAGCAAGTGTCTCCTGGGCCGGCCTGTGGGACATCGCTCAGCCTAGACCGAGGAGCTGAGCACAGAGCATGGAGGGCCATCTGGGACACCAGTGAGAAATGATTTGCTTTATGATGGGAGGACTCATCTGCTCCATCCAGAACAGAGCCAACCCCAGGCTCGTCAGGCAGCAAGGCAGCGCTTCTGAGAGGTTCTTGGCAGTCAGACAGACCAGCACCACCAGAAGGACGGAAATACTGTTCACTCAATGCATGTGACAGTCCTCCATTCACCATCCCCTCCTGCAGCTCAGTGTTGAGACTGCTGAGACAGGAAGAACCAAAGATGAAATCAGGAGGGATGAGACCCCTCCGCACCCAGTGGGTCCTGACTGGAGGCAGAAGGGTGGGGTCCAATGGCATGTGGCCCTCCCTTTACAAAGGGGGCAGGAAACCATCCTCCTCTGACTTGGGCATGGCTTGGATGCCTCGGGAATGGGGGGCGAGAGAGAGAGAGAGAGAGAGAATGACAGAGAGGGACAGAGACAATGACAGAGAGAGATAGAGATGCAGATAGAGAGACAGAGATAGAGAGACAGAGAGATAGAGACAGACATAAAGATAGAGACAGAGAGACACACACACAGAGAGACAGAGAGAGAGAGGGAGGCAGAGACAGAGCCCACACAGCAGTGCAAAGTGCACTGACGAGATGAGGAGCTAATGGGGAAGAGACTCCAGATGCCCTGGTGGGGGCAGGCAGGACACTTAGCACGCAGGAGACTCACGACACTGGGTCAACCCTGTGCACAGATGTTGGTGAATTTCACGCACAGCAGCCCAGAGAAGACAGGCCCCTGAGGCACTATTGACTCCCTGAGATCTTGCGCAACCTAGGCCTTTTTTTTTTTTTCAAAATTGTGACATGAGATGATTGTTTTGGTCTGGTTCTTTGCTGGCTATGATATTCCTGTCAACGACCTAAGGCAACAGTGTAGAAAGCAGACACACATGTCCTGTGTGAGGTTACAGCCTCACACAGGAGAACACGTGATCTAGCTAAGGGGAAGGTGTCCCTGAGGCAAGTTAGTTCCCCCTGGTCAGACTCACTCTGCAAGTACCACAGAGGACACGGAGCACCGGAGCAGAGGGCAGCCTTGCTGAAGGGGCTCTGCCATCTCTGGGGGGTGAATGCCATCAGCGCATTCAGTAGCCTGTGTTTCCCTGGAGTATGAAATCTTGGTGACTTTGACCTCACGTTCTGTACTTTAGATGCCATCCTGCCCTGCCATATCCTACCCTTGCTTCTAGTCCCTGCTAATTCATTGTCACCTGGAGGCCAGTACTCTAGATCTTCTTCATCTTCCTCATCTTCATAGTTTTCTGCAAACAAATTCAGAAATGTGCAGACATTAAATAGTTCCATTACACATACCGGAGCCTATGCGGGCACGGAGACAAATGATCTCTGTGCGAGTTCAGGACACACTTAGGGAATCGTACCGATTTCATCTGCTGACGTTAAAGCAGCGGCGAGGCATGAGATGCCGATCCAGCCTGTAAAATGTGCCTGACTCACTGGATCATTATCATGGTGTGCTCTGAATATAATTGAGAAAAGTTAAAATATATTTTAGTCTCCCGATCACTGGATACTTGCACAGTTTTTTTCTGGATTTCTCTAGCTATGTGCCCCTCCCTCTACAAGGAAGCTCAGGGCGTTATGTCCCCTCACAATTCTCGAATAGACCCTACTCAGTGCTCTAAGAAGAAAGTGTAAAGCCCTTTGCCGCTTCCCTCCATGCAGCGGGACTTCACGCTGACCCCCAAGTTGGCTTCTGCAGTGGAACGGGGGGAAAGTCCATCTAGAGAAATTGTTCCAGGATAAAGCAACATTTCTGCCACCTGAGCCTACTATTTTAACCAAATCATCCCAAACAGTTAGAGATGTTATCCCTTCTGGAAGTGCATTCGTGGACATTCGCTCATTCAATAGTCACAGCTACCAAGCAGCACATTATTTGACCAATTACTGATGAGGGTCTAGAAATCTAGACAGGACAGATCCATCCCTCACCTACAGCTGTGAAGGCCAGAGCTGTGGCAAGAGCTCAAGAAACTGCCATTCTCAGCCCAGGGTTCTTTGCACTCTAACATCTGCTTCCTGCCCCAGAGGCCACATTCCATCAGGGAGGACGGTGACAGTTGGAAGGTCATGACCTCCCGTCCAGTATATTTCTCTTCTCTGTTCCCACCCTGGCTCTGCTGACCCTGACATGGCCTCAAATTTGATGTGGAAACCAGAACAGCAGGTAAAACATTATGTATAAAGGTGCGGAGTCTCTAGTGAGCTGGGGACCTTGGAGCAGCTCAGAGCCATGAGGGTCTGTGGCCACCTTACCTGGGCTGAGTGAGCGGGCGAGGTGCTCTGCCAGTCTGTGCCTCTCCGCCAGTTTCTCCTGGTAGTTGTCAGCATCCTCCTGCGTGAGGAGGGCCTTGAGGTGCTGGCTGAGTGAGGAGGAGGCCTCTCTCCCTTCCTGTAACTTGTGGCGTAGCTGGGTCAGCTCTTGCACCTGATCAGGAATTAGGACGTAGTATTTTCTCAGGTGGGTGGAAGGGAAAACATCAGAGTGGAAAGGGGGTAATAATAGGTGAGAAGGACTTGGAAAGAGATGCCGTGACTATAACCCCAGGCGGCCCTTCCAACGGAATTCTGGCACACATCTGGTGAATGTGTATCAATTTTTCTGAAATTACTGGAAAAGCAAGTTTGTTTCTGAGACATTGTATATCTAGATCCTATGCCTTCTTGATATGAACTTTCTTTTTGTCTAGTTACTTTTCTTGCTGTAGAGAATCTGCCGGCAGGCTAAGGCCAACAACGTAGGAGGCAGGGAGCCGTCCCTCCTGATTTTAATCACACAGGGCAGTGCTCTGTGGTGTATATTTGTGAATATGGAAACGCATGAATGATTACACTTCACCTGGCTGACTCTATGTAAGAAATTAGTAGGAAGTGGTAATCAACACAGGAATAGCAAAGAAAACAAATGCCACTCCCTACCCAGACCCTTCGTGGTTGGCTGATCAGATCAAATAGGTATATTCAGCAGATCTGTTTTCCCTGAGATACCCAGATGCCCCCAGATACCACCTTAGTTCCCATTAACAGTCCTTGATTATCAGAGTCACCTGGGGACTGCTGGCTCTTGTCCTTCATTCCTAGAATCATGTAGGTTTTCTGCAAATAAAACAGATGGGGCCGGTCACATGACACAGTGGCTGCTTTATACATTGCAAATGCAGGGATATAAATAGGCTCTGGGCAAAACGAGGATATTCCAAGAACACTGCAGGGAGCCGTAGGACATGTCCTGGGAGAAGGAACTGGCCCTGCTTCCCTGAACCACCGAATAGACAGTACCTGTTGTGATAGATCATCAACACATGTTCACTGCTTAAAACTGGGTAAACAGTTAAACATATTATTTTTTCTCAGAGATCATGGGGAACTTGCTTTGCTGTTTTCTAGAGGTGCTGCTGCAACTTGCCCCAGTGGATCCCCTGGTTGCTGTTGCTGTACGTGAGAATAGATCCTGAGATCAGACTGATGGATGCAATATACAAACTCTCACAAAGCGAAGAATCTTTGGTCCTGCTTAGAGCACGTGATCCTTGCCCATCCATGGAGGCTGGAATGTCGGGGCCAAGGCTTGCCTTCAGGGAAAGTTCCACACACAGACAATGCTTAGTGGTGTTTGCATTTTGCTGCTCAGATGATGGCTTCCCAAGACAAGCTGACTAGGAGGAGAGGAACTGGAGCCTGGAAACCCTGGGAACAACATCTCCAAAGATACCGGAGACCGTCACACTCCTGGAGCAGCTACAGGTGCTCAAAGAGCACCAATCGGAAATGACAATTAGAAGGACAACTGAAGGAGAGATGAGATGTCTCATCATAAGAATCATCTGTCAGAAGGATTCTGTGCATGTACAGCACAAGTGGCAGAGTTGGCCAGGTCACCCTTACTATGCTCACCCTCACTATCCTGGTCTGTCTTGGGGCCAACAGCCTGCCTTTGGCAGTGAGTGCCAGAGTGACACAGGTGTATTCTGGGACTAGGAAGAGTGCAAAACTCCCTCACACCCCTAATATTTGCTTTTACACTTCGGTCGTAGAGTTTGGTTCAAATGGAGGTGGGCTTACCAGGGCATGGCTGCAGAGAGACATCTCTCGACATGGACAGGTGAGCACAAAGGATATGGAGGCTGCATGGGAGGCCACTGGAAGCCTCAATCTCCCTGTAACAGGAGGACTCACTGGCCACATCCCAAGCAGCGCAGACTTCATGCTCATCACACAGGAAAGCAGGACCATTGAGAGGCTGGTGGGAGTCAGACAAGTCATGGCAACCGGAAAGCGCCCAATACTGTTCGTCCAATGAGCCCTGCCCCACTTCGTTCATCTGCTTCTTCTCCTGCAGCTCCCTGCTGAGGGCAAAGGGGGAAGGAGAGCAGAATATTAAACAAAGAAGGATTGGGCATCACAGCGTCTCAGCTGGTCCTGATTGGAAGCGTAAGTGAGAGGTCCCAGAAGGCAGAGGGGCATCCACTCAGAGAGGAGGAATAAAACAATCCTCTTCTGACTAAGGCAGGATGGGGCTGTCACGGGGCTGGGGAGGGCAGGCGTGGGTGGAGAGCAGCAGGTGCTCAGTACACTGGCCACATGACGCGCTGACCAGGAAGGACCCTCCACTCCCCCTGCATGGTGTAGTCATGACTTGGAGCACACGGTGAGAACCGTAACACTTGCTACAGCTCCAGCGCAAGGTTGGTCCACGTCGCTTGCAGGGATGCAGTGAATAAAGGCTCCTGAGGCTTTGTTCACTCCAACAGATCATCAGTCAGCATTCTAGGCCTTGGTCTCTTAATATTGTGACATCATAAGATTTTTCTCAGTCTAGTTATATTTCTCATTATAAAATCCCTGGCAAGTAACAAAGGCCAACCTTGCAGAAAAAAAATATGCATCTTATCTTGGTTTTCCCAGTATGGGACAGATTGGTTGTTCTCCCTGGGTGAAGGAATATCTGAGATTAGTTCACCTTGGGTCAGACTGACACTAGGTTAGTAAATTTGAGAAATTAATGAGAAGTGTAAACCAATGGTAGAAATACCAAGAAAACAGCTAACATTCATAAAGGGGTATTCGTTGTTTGATGAATGAATGAAAAAGGTATTTTCAGCACATTCAGGTTGTTCTGGATCTGGGATTTCCAGATGTCAACAGGGCATTGACAGCCCATGACTGTGAGTTACCTGGAGGGTGCTGGCTCTGTTCCATCCTCCACCTCCTGAGTGTTCTGATTTTGATTTTCTGCAAATAAATTCAGACAAAGCTAGTCATATCATGCAGTTCCTACTTCATACACTGCACAAAGCCCTGTGTAATCACAGGGATGTAAATATTCTCTGGAGGAAAAAGCCCAGCACATTCTTCAAGGAACCTTGTTGGTGGCTTCTGGTTGTGCCTTCTAGGAAGTGGCTGGGCTTGCTTTTCTGAGCCACCGAGAGGACTGACTCACACCTCATGCATCATCCTAACAATGTCCTCTTTATAGCCGCTCCCCATCATTCGCATCACCGCCTGAGCTCTGCCTCCTGTCGGATCAGCAGCAGCATTAGATTCTCATAGGAGCGCGAACCCTACTGTAAATTGCACATGCGAGGGATCTAGGTTGCAGGCTCCTCACGAGAATCTAATGCCTGATGGTCTGAGGTGGAGCTGAGGAAGCGATGCTAGCACTCGGGATTGGCTGCAAATACAGATTATCATTAGCAGAGAGGTTTGACTGCACAATAAAGGTAATGCGCTTGAATCATCCCAAAACCACTCCCCAACCCCTGGTCTGTGGAAAAATTGTCTTCCACGAAACCAATCCCTGGTGCCAAAAAGGTTGGGGACTGCTGCTAACACACCCCAGAATGAGGGCCTTTATCCTTACTGAGGTGCATTCACGAATATTCCATTCCCACATACGATGGCTACTGCTACGTGTGATACATTTATTACAGATAAGGACTCAGAAATACAGGGGGGATAAATCCATCACAGGCTCACAGGTAGCAAAGATAGCACTCAGGCTAGAGCCTGGAAACCTTTCATTCCTACCAGGACTGTTGTCCCTCTAACAAGTTGACTCTTGTCACCCTCTCCTGCTCTACTCTAACAGGGACGGAGGCTGCCTCCTCAGCCAGAGGCCACGATGCGTCAGGAGGAAGGACAGAGTTGGAGTACCGGGAGCTCCACCCTGTGCATGTCTCTCCTCTGCTCGCCACCAGCCCTGATCCCGTCATGGCCATAAATGTGGTGTGTAGACCAGGACAGCTGGTTAAAGAGTCACATTGTGAGTGGAGTGTCTTGTGAGCTGGGCACCTGTGGCAGCTCAGAGTACCAAGGGCCTGTGGCCACCTTACCTGGGCTGAGCGTGTGGGCGAGGTGCTCTGCCAGCCTGTGCCTCTCTGCCAGGTGCTCTCGGAGGCCCTGTCCCTGGCAGTTGTCGGGATCACCTGAGGTGCCTTGAGATGTCGACTGAGTAGAAATGAGACATTTCTCTCCTCCTGTAATGTCTGCCTTAACTGGTGAGCTCTTGGGCCTGATGTTCAATTAGGATATTAGATCCCCTATGGTGGGAGCAAAAGAAAACATTAAAAGGCACAGGTGAGCAATAGATTATGTGGGCTTTGGAGGAGATTTCTGTGGAAATATCCCCAAGAAGCCTTCCAAGTGCAATTCTGGCACATTTGTGGTGACCTGCTGGTGGCAAAGAGAGAGAAGAATGTACAAGGAAAGCCTCCTCTGTATCAGAAAGTGCTCCTGTAAGATTCCTTGACATTCCCTTCATGTTTTTCTGCTGTGTAAACAGCTGGGTGTCTTCCTGAATTGGCTTCGTAAAGATGTCCCTTCGGTTTCTCACTTTGACCTGGGCGTTTCATGTGAAAATGCACTTAGTGTATTGCGCAGTGACTGGACACACAGCCACACAAAGACACGTGGCCGGGTCCAGAGGGCGCTAATTGATAAATTGAAATAACACGAGATGACAAGGCCAAGAGGACACCACTCTTTGCATAAAAGAATCAGAATTCACATTCAGTCAGGAGGTGATTGTGATTCAGAGTAAATGGGATGGTGATTGTGCAGCATTTTTAAGGTTTTACTTGTATAAATTTAAGGGGTACAAGTGCAGTTTTGTTACAAGGGTACGTTGCGTAGCGGTGAAGTCTGGGCTTTTGGTGTTTCCGTCACCTAAATGCACATGTGACTACACTAAATACTGCTGAGTTGTTCACTTTCCTTTGGTGAATTTTATGTTATGTGAATTTCCCCCTAACGATTAGCATTTAAAAAGAGAAAACATGGCTCTGAGTAACAGCCGTAGGCCAGAATTTACCATTATTTTTTTTCTGGACTTGTTTTATAAACATTTGTGCGACACGTGCCTGCCGTGCCAGTTCCTGCCCTTCCGAGGCCAGGTGAGCTCGTACCTGGCCCCGCTGAGCTGCCCCACTTCAGCCATTCTCACCCTTCCCACCTGCCTGCCCGGCACGCTGCGCCCCTCACCTGAGCTGTCAGCTGGAATTGGCTTCCCTGCTGCTCCTCCTCTGCAAATCCAGCCTCTCCCCCAGCACGGCCTCTAAGATGTCTCTGCACGCCACGCCTGCCTCAGTGGGAGGCTGGACATACTGCTGTAGTCACTGCCCGCAGGGGAGATGCAGGGTCCATTCTGAGGACAAAACTGTCCCCAGTACCAGCCTCCATGCGGGGATTTCCACAACTTTATTTCTCAACCTCCCAACTCCATGGCACTGATAATCCCCTATTCAAAGATGAGGAAAGAGACGCTTACAGGCACACGAAGTAACTTGACAAATGACTGAATCGGGATTTGGGAGAGTCAGAATTCACATCCCCCAGGGTCTGGCTGTGAATCAGGGGCTGCTCGACCAAGCCGTGCAGCCTGTGGCGTAAGACACCGCGCTGGCGCAGAAGCGGGGATTCCTGCATAGCTGGGAAGGCCCGAGGACCACAGGACTGACGGTTCCCTTGTGCTGGGAATGTAAGGAAGGCACAAGTGTCCCACAGATAAAAAATCGTATCTGGGTGCCCTTGTGTAAAATAGAAGGCGTTAGACCACAGGGACCTCAAAGAAAGGTTCCCAAACACTAGGGAAGCTTGAGTTAAATTAGAAGTAACAGGAGTATGAACTCAGAGGGTTTATTCTTGTCAGACACAAGAATTAACTAATGTATTCATTGCAACCAAAGAAATAGGTGCTACGATAGCACCGTGTAAACAGAGGGGGAAACTGAGGCACAGAGAAGGCAAACAACTTGCATTGGAGCCCCAGAGACACGCTCAGGGTCCTTGCCCTACATATTGCACGTGACCTCAACACGGTCTTCAGCGCTGTTCCATCTTCTTCCACTTTACAATTTTTCCATGTGCTTATATTATGTTTACAAGGAAAGGCGTTAGTATTAATGAAACATGGTTTGTCCTTTCCCAAAACTCTTCACTTCTATAATAGGCTTCCGTTTTTATTTTCTGTTTAAGTCCTTTTGATTACAAAAAAGCCCCGTCGATTTATTGGAAACTAAAGTGTAGGGAAATGATGCAAATTCAGCCTCAGGGTTGCAAGATTCCTTCTAATCCTGCTGTCGTACACGTGAGCGTGCCCCTGTCCCCGGGATTCCTTCAGTCACTGAAGCTTGTCTTCCCAAGCAGGACAAGGGCTGGCAGTGGACAGGCTGACCGCTGCACGCTGGTTTGTCACAGGCGCTGCTATTCTTCTCCTTGTCCCTTGTTCTCACTTGGGCCACACGTCTCATAGCTCAGACCTTCAAGGTCCACCGGCACCTCCTGGCCGTCCTGCATCCCTGAAGGTTTACCAGCTTGGGAGACACACGGGGGTGACAAAGATTCCCTGACATCTGCAGAAGCACCATCTGCCTTCCAGCTAGGTGTCGAGTTATTTCCTTGCACTCAAAGAAGAACCGGTGTTCCAGGTAGCAGGACTTCTCTCCCGCCAGGGTCGGCCCTCTTGAGGGGGTCGTGTAGGAAGGCCACAACTTCAGTTAGGAGCACACTCCTCTGGAAGGTCTTTAGGCAGGGGCTGTGTCCCATCACCACCTTCCGCAAGGGGAGCAGCACAGTGCGTTCCTATTGGGCCTCAACAGAAGCTTGAATTGAATGGAAATTCATTAGTCCCAGACAGTTAGACCAACGGTGATGTTATATGACTGTGGTATTTGATGCAGTACAGGGACGATCCTAATATTAATACAAATCAGTCCAGCTTGTTCCTCAAAATCACAGGCACTTCCTTGCCTGCCGCAGGAATAAATAACTGAGATTTTAACCCAAGTCTCATCCTACTCCTCACTTGGAATCATGGCCAAACTCTTTGTGCCTCAGTTTTCCAACCTCAGAAAAATGGGGTTAAAATACCCACTTTTCCCTTTCTAGGAATACAGTTTGGATGAAATTTATTTTGATAAAAGGAAGAGAAGAATTGAGTCTAGAGAGCGTTTATTTTCTCAGAGAGGACATACAATCATTCATCACTTTGAGGGTGGTGAACCTGTAGAACTTACTGTATTTCTGCAGCTGGTTGGCCAGGGAGTAGGCAATAGATTCAGAGATACGCCATTTCTCCTTGAGGTCTCGTAACCGCTGTTTGCTCTCTGCCAGCTGGGAGCGCAATTCCTTGTTCATTTCCAGAATGTTCATCTCCGCCCTCTGCCTGGACAAAGGGCTGAAGGCTCCTGCCATGCTGACACGTGTAGCAGAAGAGGTACAGCCAGGGGCTGGGGAGAAGAAACCCAAACACGTGATGGGTGAAAAAGAAATGAAATCAAATAGGTTTCCTCAGGACTGAGGGATGGCAAACACTGTAATTCTTAACTTACCGTTGGGAAAATCTTGACCAACGCCCCACAGATCTTGACAGTCCTTTACTGTAGAAGGAAATTCAAGATGCCAGAGCTCAGAGCCGAAGGCACTGCCTGTAGCTCAAACTCTGACTAAAGTGAGGGAGGTAGAGTCCAGCGTGCCAGGTAATGGTCTGGGGTTGCCGTAACAGAATTAGAAGGTGTGTGTGCCGTGGGATCTTAGGAGTCCCTGGGCCATGCTGATACACAGGCCATGTGGTCTAGTCTGAAGGTCACCATTGATGGTGACACTCCCCCACAAGCAGCCACGTTCAAGAGTAGACACATGCTCATATATTCATCTTTTTCCCAGTAAATCTAAGCCTATTGTTCATTCTCATGTATGTGTGAAAATATCTAGGCAGAAATAGTTTTCCCACAGATTTTATTTTCTTCAGGGTTGTTAAGTAGTCACCCCACCATTTCTTCTTCTTCTTCTTTTTTTTTTTTGTGGCAGGGTCTTGCTTCATTGCCAGGGTTAGAGTGCTGTGGTGTCAGCCTAGCTCACAGCAACCTCAAACTCCTGGGCTCAAGCGATCCTACTGCCTCAGCCTCCCGAGTAGCTGGGAATACAGGCATGCACCACCATGCCCGGCTAATTTTTTCTATATATTTTTAGTTGTCCAGCTAATTGTTTTCTATTTTTTTAGTAGAGATGGGGTCTCACTCTTTCTCAGGCTGGTCTCAAACTCCTGAGCTCAAACGATCCACCCACCTCGGCCTCCCAGAGTGCTAGGATTACAGGCATGAGCCACGGTGCCTGGCCCCACCCTACCATTTCTTTACGATGAATATAGATCTTAGAACTTTTCCTGAGTTGAATAATGTTAAACTTTTGCAATGTTAAAATGTAAATCTCTCATGACGTTCTTCTCTGTATCTTCTCCCATACCTCCAAATCTATTAAAAAGTACAGAACAAAATTGACTTCATGATACTAAGTGAACAAATACTTAGTTTTTCAATATGGTTTCTGTCCTGTCTCAATATTCTTGCTGCATTCCAGGTTCATATTGGCTTCTGTTCTCTCACTGGGGTAGCTGTGTGTCTCTCAGTATGTCTACATCAAGTTTGACTTCTCTACCACCTACATTCCTTCCCTGTATGTGGGCTGCTTCGGAGTTTTATTTAATGTCACTAAACATTATATTTCATACTTGTTATTAATGGATTTCATTGTACACCCTCATGTTCTCTTTACCAGCTGTCAGAGTGATTAAAATAGTTTATGTATATATCCTCGAATACACGAAGTGACCGTCTGTATTGGGAAGACTCGTAAACCTGATGAGAGGTGTTACATTTGCGCTCCATTCGTTCACATGCTGCACAGATCAGGCATCAAGAGCAGTTTTACGCAACATTGCTCCATAGATCTGTGTGAGTTGACCTGACACCGTCAACCTGTGGTTGTGTCCCACTAACAGAACATGGTAAGATCAAGGTCATGAGTCTGGGGTGATGCAGTGTCCACATGCAACGGGGTTCAGAGACACAGCAGGTGAGGCTGAGGTGAGAGGGATGGGCAGGCATGGGAGAGGGGCGCCCTGAGATGCTTCCTCACTTTTTTGGCTTCCATTCCCACCCAGGTCTTGTGAGCCTGAGGCTTGGGAGATGCCCCGTGTTGCCCGGGTCTCTGCAGTTCAGCCGGTGGACCTGCCTGAGTTGAGGGAGTAACACGTGTCATCATGGGCCCCCGAGTGTTCATGTCAAAGTGGAGGGAGGAGGACTGCTCAGGTGCTTTTGAAAGCGTGCCCCTCACACCACGCTATATCCTCCAACTGCAATGTGTAGTGATAGTGGTTTTGAGATGTAGTAACTCTTGAGTGTCCAATGGGTGCAAATTTGTACCAAACGTGTTTTTTAAAGAGTGATGTTTCTCTGAGCCAGCTCATTGGTGGCTCCAGAAACGTCAAACCATTTTATACACTATATTTTGGCCAATGCTGTAAGTTCCACCCTGCTTCCTCCTATGTCTACCCCATGGCATCTGAGTCATTCCTTGGCCCTGGTGGCAGAGCCATTTTTCCACCTTATTTATTAAAGACCTTCTGATTTGGTGACATCAATGCACGTGGTGGTTCTCTTTGGTATTTGGTGTATAGGGACATCTTTTGGGTCACTTGGAGAACATTTTGTCTCCAGAAGACATTGAGTTCTGTGAAATACGGTTAATCATCTCTCACTACATGACACTTAACCCAGCTCATCCATTGTATTCACTTCCGGAGCAGGTTCTTGACCTTTTTTTTCCTCTTTTATGGTGGTGGTATTTTATTTTATTTATTTTTTATTTTTTTAATTTTATTTCAGTATATTATGGGAGTACAAGTGTTTAGGTTACATATATTGCCTTTGCCCCACCTGAGTCAGAGCTACAAGCATGTCCATCCCCCAGATGATGCGCACCACACCCATTAGGTGTGAATATATCCATCCCCACCTCCCCCCAACCTGCCTGACACCAGTGAATGTTACTACTATATGTGCACATAAGTGTTGATATTCGCATGCTACACATCAGCAAAAGGGCTGATAATTATAATCTATATAGAACTCAGGAAAATCAGCAAGAAAAAAATCAGACAACCCCTTTAAAAAGTGGGCAAAGGACATGAACAGAAACTTTTCAGAAGAAGACAGACTAACGGCCAGCAAACATGAAAAAATGCTCAACATCTCTCTGCCTTTTTTGAGGTCTATTGCCTCTCCAGACATTATTCAAGGTTTTCTAGTCCATCACCGCGTAGCTTCTCTTCCTGTTACTGCAACCTAAAAATGATCTGTGAAATAAAACACAGGGAGGGGACCCATGCTAAGGATGTGTGTGACATTCAACTATGACACTGGCAGCCAAGACACTCTCTGCAGGAGGTTCTGATGGTTTTGGCCTGAGTCTACAGGGTGTGGAAAGCCGAGGGCTGTCACTGCTCCTCCTAATCGTCTTGCTCATCAGCAGGGAGAGCCTTTGGTGTGAGCTATTGACTTCCCACCTACAGAGACCCCTGGCTGAGGCTGGAGCAGACGACTCTCAGCTCTTTTGGGTAAGAATCAGCGCTCACTTCCTCTGAACCCCAGTCAACAGGCACAAGGCTTTACCCACAGGGGCTCGGTAACTGCACTCGCTGAGCTCAACTAACTTAGAATCCAACTTCCCTACCAAGTACAGATGTTATATTTTAAAGAATTGGACAGGATGAACAGAAGAATGAAACAAGGGATGTGAGATTTTTCTGCCTCTTTGAGAAAAAAAGTCATTATGTTTATCAACCACTTGAATATCAGAAAGCCAGGTTTTAGCCCTATTTCCCCTACATGTTCCCTGCAAACATGGAAATTGCTTTATTTCTTTCTATATTCATTTTTTTGATGTAAAAGCTGAGAATAAAATATGAGGTGCTGAAATTCTTCATTATTTAATTTATTTTCATGTGACGAGAGAATAGCAAAGCATGGAAAGCATTTAACTTATTAAAAAGAATAGAGAACAGCATCATCTTTTTGGCAGACATGCATGTATAAGTCCCACTAAACTTGCCTCACGGTGTCTCCAGGTGGCCGTGACGTAGCTACCGACAACAGCAGTTTTCTCGGGAGACCTTGGCAGTGTTGACCTTGAGACAATCTGGAGGGCAGATGTCAGTTTTATTTTGGGAGATCAGGAACGTTGTGTCCCACAGAGGCCGTCCAGCTGTTGGAAACAAACAGAAGGTGGAGCAGGACAAGCACTGAGGTGACCCCCACACCACATGGGACACTCCCTCCAATGAGCCCACAGCCACCACACTTCTCAGGACTCACCGCTCACTAGACTGAGAGCTCTGTGAACGCTGGGGTACGATTTTACTCACCTCTGTGTTCACGGTTCCCAGCTCAGGGCCCAGCACTGAGGGGCTCTTAGCAGTGGTCGTCAATGATGGAATAAAAATGGTTTCAAAGCTCCAATCATCCCACCTGCCTTCCTTCCCCAAATGTCCTGTGAGGGGCGCTCTGCTTCCTGCCAGGGTGCTGCACGTCTCCTGTCCGGAGGCCCCTGCCCTACAATATCGATGTCTGAGGACACGCCCCTGTGGGGGCTCCGATGAAAATGGAACTGCTCTCAGGAATTCCCTTCCTGGTGGTGCAGAAACGTGACTGTGACCTCTACATCAGTTCCCTGGGCTGCCACAAGGCCTTTCTCAACTGAATGGGCCGGAGCATAGACCAAGTATCACTACTTCATGTGCAAGGGTCCCCTTGCCCTGGTCCGCTGACCTAAAGCAGAAGGGTTTAAGGTGCAAATGGGCATTCTCAGCCCTTCTCCTGCTAAGCCCACCCTTATGTGGAGGGCGTCCACTGCCAGGGCAGCCCTGAGGTCGAGGCTCCCGGGGCCAGGCCAGGCCTCATGGTCACATCCTCCCCCTCTTGGGGTTGGTGCTTCTGCACCGTGTAAACCAGCTCTGAGTCCCCCCTGTGGGTGACCTTGGCCAGGTGCACAGGTTCACTGTGCAGTGAGTTCCTTTCCCATCTGCACTGCTCACCCCAGGCTGCTCCTGGAGGCTTTGGGTGACAAGGATTCCTCAGTGACCCTGATGTCTGAACCCAATTTGTCCTTATTCTCACCCCCTTTGGTTTCCACCTGCTCTACCATTACCGTGTCCTTGTTTGGCTATTCTCATCCCCAAACCTGCTGACTTTCTTTCTTCCCTCTGCTCCCTCAGTTCTGAGTTCTCATGGTGTGGACTCAGCTCAGGGTCCATCAGGGGACAATCAAAGTAGGGACCAAGGTCTGGTCTCAGCTGCAGGTCCCAGGGCACTTTTAACACACACTACAACCCCCTGAGACTCAGAGCAAACTCAGCAGGAATGTCCCTCGGAGAGGTACAGTAAGGACCTTCACTTCCTGATGAGGAGACGGAGGCTCAGAAGGACTAAGAGGTTTTCCCCAGCTCCCTCACCGCTCGAGGGCAGCAGGGCCACTTCACAAGCTTGGGCCTCAGCTTCCCTGTCCAAATCACCTAAGTCTCCCACCAGGAACTCACATCTCAGCTTCTGGGATTTTGGATCCAACATAGCTATTTCCACTGTTAAAACAAAATATCAGATGGTTCTTTCCTGGGCCAATCTTTTATCACAGTTCTATGGTTCTTTACTCCCGTGGGTTTTTTTTTGTTTGTTTGTTTATTTTTTTTTTAAAGAAGAGGATCTTGCTCTGTTGCCCAGACTAGAGTGCAGTGGCGCGATCATAGCTCACTACAGCCTCAAACTCCTGGGCTCAAGCGATCCTCTTGCATCAGCCTCCGGAGTAGCTATGACAACAGGTACCCTCTAGTAGGCAGAGCTCACTATTTATTATTATCATTTGTAGAAATGGAGTCTTATTATGCTTCCCAGGCTTGTCTTGAACTCCTGGCCTCAAGAGATCCTCCTGCTTCGGCCACCCAAAGTGCTGGGATGATAGGCATGAGCCACCACACTTGCTACAGTTCTATTATTTATACTCAATTTTCGATCACTTGACTGGTCCAAGGGGAACGAGGAACACACAGTATCAAATTATATGTAACACAGTCACAAATAAGGTATATTTATGTGATTATTTATAAACCATGTGTCTCCTGAGTAGGAAGATGATCTTCCTCAGAACAGGGACTCTGTCCACCCTGGTCACCCCGTGTTCCCAGTGCCTCCACGAATACCTGCTACAGAAAACAGCAGTATATACTTGTCAAATGGATCATTAACCGTCACTAGGAATAACTCACTTTTACCAAAGACCTCTAATCCTAACCATCATCCCAACCAAATTCTATCCTGGGTCAGTGCAGAAGCAATAACAGCACAGCCTCGGCACAGGCAATCTGAGATTGAAATGCAGCTTCACACACGCCAAGGATGCTTTAAAGGAGAATTTTTATACTTTCGTTGAGGCTATAATCCTCATGCAGAAATTAGATAGGGCAGCACTCACCTCTAGGGTTTGGGATGGTTAAATAAAATAATAGGAAGCAGAAAAGGATCCCAAACTTGTCTAGACACAGAGCTAAAGTCACTGGGATACTTGTTAAAAATCTCTGGAGATAAGGCCCAAGGATCTAGTTCAGAGAAATTTCCCTAGAGATTCTCACGTAAGAAAAAAGGCCACAGTTAAACATCCATCCTGGGGAAAGATCCCCAGAGCTCTGGTAGCTACAAGAACAACTCAGCTAGAGCAGAGCAAGTCCCTTGTCTGTGGTGACATTTTTTTGGGAATTGTCCCCTTTTTCACATAAGGTGTCCCACCTGACAGGGGACATATGCAGGAACCCTGCTTCCCCAGTCTGGCTTTGAGCTCCTCCATTCTCCTTTAGGCTTCTCCCTCTGGTTAAATGCCGGAGAATCTCAGCTGTCATGGGGGTCATTTTATTTTTTTTTTTAGGAACGTCCCTCTTATTTTCTCCTCCTTTGAAGACAGTGTGGGCAGAGATGGGTTCTGGTTCTCTGCAGTCCTAGGCTTTCTCCTAAGCCACCCAGGTGAGCCGAAAGCACTCATGACTGGCAGAAGTCAGGTCAGTGAGGAGGACCCAGAGGAGCCTGGGAGACGGTGAGAACCCATGACGTGGTCAATATCAGGCCCATTTGGGTGGGAAGCAAGTCCCGAGCCATTAGGGGGAGGATGCTGCCGTGAGAACAGAGAGGAAGAACCAACAAAGTGTGAGAAGAAAGGAAAAAGTAATGATTTCAATGAAGAGGAAATAAACGCAGAGCCAAGAGCCCAGAGGCAAAGCCCCATGTCACAGAGAATCAGTCCAGGCTTTTGACAGTAATCCAGAAACCCCTGCTGGACTATGCCCAGCTCAATTTCAAAACTACGTTGGCTCAGTGACTTCCTTGTACTTTCCATTTTCCCACTTTTTGAACTGGAATCTCTATAATTGTCACCAAATGTCTGTCCCAGCACTGCACGTTAGGAGTAGATATGTTGTTTCTTTAGTTTCACAGGTATACAGATGGAGGGCAATTTGCCAGGGAAGTAAAAAATGTCCTCATGCACCTCATGTACACTTGATGTAGATGAAATTTGGGACTTCTGAGCTGAGATGTACCTGAGTTTTTTGACTTCGATGCTGTCATATTAGAGAGTTTAGGACCTTGGGACGGGTGAATGCATTTTGCATTTGGGATGGACATGAATCTGCGTGGTCCAGAGGTAGGAACATAGTAGGCAGAATTTCTAAAATGGCCTCCAGATATGCCCCACCCAGATTCCTGGAACCTGCGCCTATGAAGAGACATCACTCCTGTCACCATGATGTCATATGGCTCTGTCGTTTTCAGACGGGACTTTATTCCCTTCAACTTTGGCTGCACTTGTTTTAGACAGATGCAGCTGGATGTTAAGAGGCCGCACAACTATGAAGGTCTGAGCCAGTAGGTAGGCCAATGACCCAAGTGTTCTGGTGAGAGCTGCTGGGACATTTAGGTAAAGGGGCCCAAACGTGTTGGAAAATTTCTTTAACTGTGCTGTGGCCGGGTGTGGGCTGAGTGGACTGCTCACCTGGTCCTGCCTCAGCAGCAAATCCTTGCCTCTCTTCACAGGTCTCCCAGGGAGCTTCCCACGTCCACTCTTTGTCAGTGCAGGGATCTGGACCCTGGGGCCAGAGTCCACTCATCAGCTGCTGCATGTCTGAGTGGCTGGTGCCGCCTGTGAAGAGAGAGCCAACAGGGAACCCGAGAAGGCCAGGGGTGAGAGCAGAGTGCAAGGCTGGAGGGGACCGCTGGGTGGAAATACCCCAAGGACATGTTAATTTCCCTAAATGCCCTTCCAGCATAATGAAGGCACTGAGGATTCAATCAGCTGCCCTTTTAAAAGAACACTGAGGCAGCTGCTCTTTTTGAAAGAGTAGGGTGTCTGGTTGAAGCCAGGCTGAGTTTCTTTGTCCTGTCCTTTATCCAGCTCACGGGATTCTAACTTGGAGCCTGAAAACTCACTGCATTCCATTTCATTTTAAAAAGAGGATGGAGACCCTGAAACTAAACATCTACAATGTATTTTACAAGTGGCTTTTACAAACATTCTTTTTTTCCCCCATTTTGACAATGTCTCTATAAGGGAGGGTATTATTATTCCCATTTTATAGATAGGGAAACTGAGGCTCAGAGGGACTGTGTGACGTGGTGGGACATGTTGGTAGATCCATACTCTAACCTGGCTCTAATCTAGTAAGTAACAATGGACACACGCTCAGCTGACAAAGTTTTGCATCCTTCTAACTTTTCAACCCATTCATCCAACAAACCTGGTAGGGACTTTTATTGTTACCCCTGATCTTACAGATCATACAGTTAGTGACAGGCCTGGCCTCCTAATGCCATATTCTATTCTCTTTCCTTCACAGCATTTCTCTCTGGGCTCCTCAAGTTCTTTGAGCGTCTATCCTAGGAGTCGGTATAATAATTTTTTCTGTAAAGGGCCAGATAGTAAATATTTTAGGCTTTGGCAGCCATAGGAGCTCTGTTGAAACTGCTGAGTTCTTCCCTAGCTCAAAAGCAGCCATCGATGTACACAAATAAATGGGTGTGGCTGTGTTCCAATAAATCTCTATGGCACCGAAATATGAATTTCATATAATTTTCAGGAATCATGAGTTATTATTCTCATTTGATTTTTTCCAACCACTTAAAAATGTAAAAACCATTCTTAGCTTGTGTAAGGCACAAAAACAGGCAGTGGGCCATAGCGTGCTGGCCCCTGGTCTATCTTTGCCTGTAAAATTGGGGAGCAGTAATCCTCTGTCTTGGATTTATGAGGATTAAACGAGATCACACTGGTAACGTGTTTTGCGCAGAGCCCATCATCCCCCTTAAATCAAACTGTAAGAGCATGAACTTCCCTGGGCCTCAGTTTCCCCACCTACAACAAGGGAAGGTTTGGCCATGTCTAGCCCCAATAGTCTATGAATTTCTGCCAAATTACTGCTTGATAAAGAGCTTCCACTGCCTGCCTTCTCCCTGCCCTGAGGACATCTGTGTCTCCTGGGTCTACCCAGAATTTCCCACCCCACCTGCTTTTTCCCAGCCCTAGACCTTACATGTTTTGTGCCTTGGCTTGCACTGAAGTGAACTAGATTTCTTCTCCCCGTTTCTTGGAGAAGTTTTAGTGGGCAGACCCAGCCACTTGGTGGAGCTGTGGGAAGATGTTTTTCCTCATAATGGCACTTGGATGTTTCTCCCGGAGGAGAACTTTGGGTCTAAAGGCAGGGACACCAGAAATGGCGCTTGGCGGAAAGAGGTGTTGTCCACACCTGTGTGTGTGTTCCCAGCATTTTGTCCATATCCTGTTAATTTGGGCGGTTGGGGCTCTGAGTTCAGATGTTTCAGGACTCCTAAGAGGGGCTCTTGTACAGGAGGAGCCAGGGAAAGACAGATCCCCCCGGTTCTCAATCCAAATTCCTGGAAGTCTCTTAGCTGCCCCTTCTGTTGTGGAGGGAATCAGTCTCTCTCCTGATCTTGTAACACACACTTTCTTTTTGAAGCCATTACATATATAATCAAATGGCCTTTATCTTTCAATGAGCTGACTTTTTGTGACTTTAATGTAATGACTGTTTGAGATGTGATGTCGCTCAGATACTAGCTGCTGTGTAGCCAAAATACCTGAGTTTGAATCCTGGCTCCCCATTCGCAAGCTGCGAGACCTCACGTTAGTCTTTCAATCTCTTAGCACATTCTATGAAAAACGAGGAAAATAAAAATATCTAGTCCCAAGTAAAGTATCGTTATGAGGATTAAAAACGACCACTCGTGGGAAAGTGTTTTGCAAACTGTAAAGCGTGATACTGATGGGAGGTATTGGAAACTGCCAGCGGCTGAAGACTGTCTTATATTATTTTCTCTCTGCATCGCTGGCACAATGGCTGCACCATCATAGATGCTCAATTATTAATATTAATAACATCTGTTGAATGAATGAGTGAACAGGTGGATGCAGAGTGTCATGAAGGGGTGGGCAGATTGGAAATGTGCCTGTTATTATAAATTAGGGGTTTCAAAGGATGAGGCTGGGAGAGAGAGTGGGAGAAGCAGGCCCTTGAGAGGAATTTGGGGCACGCATCTCCTCTGCCAGGAAGGCAGCTTATGCATCCCTCGCTAGCTGGCTGCTGGGCTGCCTGGCTCCACTGGGCCTAGCTGCCAGGCCCTGGGCCATCTAAGCCCTGGGTGACTGTCCCAGAGCAGGTGGGCCAAGAGCTTCTGCCTCCACAAGCAGGCTGGTGACCTGCCTGGAATGCCCTCCCTCTCGTGCCTGCTTTTAGAGCCTAAGTCCCTGGTGACAGTAAACATAACGCATGCAGGGCCCGGCACTGAGCCACTCTGGGTCGCGGCAGGATGGGGGCTGAGGGACCTGTCTCCCATGGTTAAAAAATACAAATAAAAACAGCACAGGTAAATATAGGCAATTATGTAGGAAATCCATGTCCCAAGCCTGTTTTTTCTTGACCTTGTTTTTTTTTTGGGGGGGTGTACAGAATTACTTGGGAAATTATAATTGTTTTACATGGTTACTATAGACCTGTTAGAATAAATCTAATAATAATCTTATTTAAACAGTAATAATAGCGGATCTCATTTTGTCAGTTTTTACTATGTAGGTACCATGCTAAGCACTTCATAGACATTATCTTAATTAGTCCTATAAGGTATTAACCCTGTAGGACTATATCCCATCAACCATATGAGGTAAATATTAGTACTAGATCCATTTTACAGATGAGGGAATTGAGCTTCAGTTACTTCCTGGGGTCATAGAGCTAGCCGATCAAAGAGCTGGAAGTCAAACCATTCATTCTTCCATTCATTCATTTCACAATGATCACCTGCTGTATACCAAGTACCAGGGATTCCTGTGTGAACAGTACAGATAAAAATCCTTTGTGGAGACAAACACGACAAATATATAAACGATGTACTATGTCGCGCAGTGGTAAATGCAATGGTGAAGAATAAAGCATCTTGGGGAGGACAGGGGAGCCAGGAGTGGGGTGGCTGGGGTGGGCTGTGGTTCTAAACAGGATAATCAGGAAAGGCGCCCCTGAGAAGGTGACGTCTGAGCAAAGGGTTGAAGGTGCGGGGTTGCTGAATGGCATGGGTCAGAGCAGAACTTCGCCACCTGTGAACTTTGTCCAGTTGGCAAATTGGTGTCCAAGGAAGATTTGGATTCATCTTTCCCTTAAGTTCGTTCTCACTTTCTTTCCTGGGC